TCAAATCATGCGGCTTATTGGGGAGAAGTGTGAGATTCAGAAGTCTATGATTCAGCTTTGTAAAATCAGAGCAAAAAAAAAGAAAAAAAAGGATTAAACTGATTTCTATGAATCTCTTGTTTCAACGCCTGATCTGATTACTAAACTTTCTCCTCTATCCAATGTTGGACTAATACCTCTCCTCACACTGCTGTGACGTTTCTCCACCAGAGCCTATGCATTTTAATGATGCAGAACCAATGCAGCTTAGCAAAGATTTACAACAATTGTTATCCAAATACAAAAAAAGTTGGGGGTTGGTAAGATTTTTTTAATGTTCTTGTCTCTTAATACAGCAACAACAGAAATATTGTCAAATATTTTTTACAATATAAAATAACTGTTTTTAATATATTTTAAAGTATTCCTGTAATGGTAAAGCTGATTTTTCAGCATATTTGGAGACAAGAATAAACCAGTGAGCATAAGATCCCATTCCCAGTTCACTGATGGATGTCCATGCAACTGTGCCTTATATGAGTCTTTCTGTTTGTGCGGTTTGATTTTTAAAGGACCCTTGACTTGACTTGCTGATAGCCAAGTAATTTTCACAACAAATAACTAACACTGCCAACAACAAAATCAAATAATCCTATAACGACATAATTGATTCATGCGGCAAATGCATGCTGGGAGCTTGTACATATCAGCAATATCAGTTTGTTCAGTTTGTGTGTGTGTGTTTTTATAGTCACATTTTCTCTGTGTGATGCTGAAATTACATTATAATTTTTTTTACTATTTATACACAATAATGATAGTTTGCTACATATCAGTTGGTTTGCGCGTGAACCATCTCGCAGACCCTGACCTCTGCATGGCTGATACAAACATGGTATGAACTCTTAGGCAAAACAAATGGAAAACAATGAACTTATACCTCGAGCACATCCTAAACTTTAGACCAAGCTAAATATAGGCACACAAGCGAGTGTGTTTACTTGTATACATGCATTCTAAACAAACAAAACACATCTATTAACATTTGATGTAGTTGATAATATATCATTTCATTATTAAGTCATTGACAAACATTATATAACGACTTGCATGTACTGTACACTGTAAGAAATTGTTTTTCGAAGTTTCCATTTCCATTTTTCCAAGTTTAATTCAATGTGTTACTTGCCGTTTCTTTGTAATTGTTTGTGAAACTAACTAGCGGTTCCTGAGTGACAATTTACACCAATTGTTTTTCAGTGTATACGAACGAACACACCAAGATAACCGAAAAATGTACTAAGAACGTTTTGCTAACATTCACATTAAGTTATGTTTTTTCTGAATGTTTTCAGAAACATCAATTTTACTTTTTTTCTTTTTTCTTGGTTAAGAGAATGTTGCAAAAAACATCAAGGGCATGTTTTCTCTATTTTCTCATTTTGCAAGTATTATGGGAATGTTACTTTTAAATGTTCCCTGAACAATCTGAAAAAAAGTAGCAAGTAACATTTAAAAAAAAAAAATCATCATCCAAATGAAAACGTTCCATGAAGGATGTATAAATAACACTTTTGTTCTAATGTTTTGAAAACGTTATGAAAGACCATAACTTTGTACAAACATTCTATTAACATAAGAGAGAATGTTCATAAAAACCTTGCCAGAATGATGGGGAAGCTCTGAGAACGTTCCCTTTAAGCTGGGTACATACAAATAAATGAATCAATCACAGTTGCATGATATTTCTAACAATATGAACCTGCATAAAAGGTGCAGTAAGCGAATTCTGAGAAATGCTGTTAAAAAAGTGGGTCTGACCTGAGCACCAGAACACACGTACATCCAATCAGCAGTAAGGGGCGTGTCCTCTCATGAGGGGGGAGGGGCCTGTGTTGCATAGTGTGTTTGTGCATTTGAGGGCGGAGCTATCAAGATAGTAGTGTGATCCTATTGGGTAGGTTTTTTGTTGATTATTTCAAATATCAACAGTGCTTCTCAGAAATCCTTACTGCACCTTTAAGTATAATATTATGGGATAAATAGAGGGCTAAAGGCACATTTGACTTTCTCTTTTAAAACACTAGGTGGCACAATAATTCAGCTCAGCACTTTTCTTAAAAAACGCTTTTGATAATGCACGTGGAAATTTGGCTTATCTTGACGTGATCGCGGACAGCAATGCAAAGTTGATTCTGTGCTAATTTGATCTAATATTTAATGTTTTTTAAAATGCTGTAGATTTATGTAGAAATGACAATCGATAAACTTAAAGCTGCAGTCCGCAGTTTTTCCTCTTTGTCGCCATCTCTGTTCGAAATCTGCAATTGCAGTTATTCGCGGAATTATCAACTTTACGTGAGTTGTACTTCGACACACTCGACATGGCACAGCGCGGATGAACACAATGTTTGAGGAGACTGTGAGGCTGTCAGTTTTTAGTATTTACTATTTCGGCTAAATGGCGCCCCTGCTGTCGGGACTAAAGGCACAATAATTAACATGATAATAAAAAGCTGCCTAACTTTTTCATTTGTTGACATGACATGGTTAGATTCAGATGGTAAATAGCATATATTAAGTTGGGTGTGCACCTTAGAGATTTATAATGAAACCATCATATTTAAAAATATTTATTTGTTACCACTGTAAAGCTTTATTCAATTATTCAACATATTTAAATGACAGTATAACCTATATGTAGTAGTCTACTGAACAAAAATGAATTCTTTTATTTATCAAAATAAACCGAAAATAGTGCAAACTTTGTGATTGTTTTGAACGAGTATTAACGTAGACATTATTAAAAACATATTATTTTAGCTAAAGTATTTGTATCAATACTTTGTGCCTTTTGCCCCATGGTGGTGAGCCTTCTACCCCCTGTGTGGGGGCAAAAGGCCCATCTTGCCACCTCATACAAGTTTTCATAAAGCGATATCAACGTAAGGCATCTACAACAGTGAACGCAAGTGTCAGAAGTGGTATATGCTGCACTTGTTGCTTCTGCAAGCGCACATTACAGCTATCTTTAGCTCTGACACTTCCATTCTTAGAGTAAACAGCTTATCATTGGCAGGCTATGGTCATGGACCTGTTATATATCACTACTTTCTCTTCAAGAAAGAAACCAGTATAAGCTCATACAGATTATCTTCTTGAGGTTATCCAAAGTTCACATTGTAGCCTACTTCGATCTAAATAGTAAAATGAAGTAATTAATTGCCCAATACTGACTTTAAACGATTTAGGCTATCACAAAGCAGTTAAACTGACAAGGAAGGTGATCTGGTGATAAATAGGCTAGCCTATCAGTGCTCTGATTTGTTGTTTTGTGTGTGTGTGTGTGTGTGTGTGTTGTAGCCTACAAGCAATTAAGATCACATAGTTACTGGAAAACATGATGCGAAACTGGATATTCCTCCCCTCAGGCATTACAAGTTACTATGTTCGAATGGGCGAGGCAAGACACAGCAGGTTGAATAGAGGACATTTTCAGAGGTTGAACATTACAGTAAACCCCACCTTATGTGCAAAGGTGTCTGCCAAGACTGTCAGCTAAGTGAAGAGTGTGGCTTTCTAGGAATGCAGAGTGAACGTGTTGTTCAAAAACAAGAGCTCGACCTAACAGCGCGAATCTGTTTTCAATGCGCCTCCTGGTGGACAAACAAACATCTTTAAAATTATCTTATTATTAAATCAATAGTGTTGATCAAGTTAAAGGCTACATCTAATATTGATAAACGCCAGTGTGTTTGAAAGGACACCATGCTTCATTTTTGTCTTAATTGAAGAACTGAAGATCAACTTCGTTGAAACTGCTGCGATGGAATTTCAACTATTGGATCGCGTGAGCTTCTCATTGCTGCCACTCATTCCTACATTAGAATTTCTCTGCCTACATCAATCTCCTTTAAACGACGGCTCTGCTCGGGTTGTCTTCTGTAGTGTCTTTACATTGCAAATATCAAAAGGCATATGCATTAAGGGTTCAAGAAGAGAAATTATTTGGACATCTACATTATATAGTCTAACTAAAAATAATAATTTAATGTAATTTGATTTCATTTCATTTAAAGTCAGCAGTAGCCTATTTATTATAATTTGTTTCGTCCGTGCACATCATTAGGCCTATCTTTTTAATCAAGTTGTTATTAACAGTAGGCTACCATCGAGAGAGCTCTTCTCATAACCCCTTCTATCGAACACACGTGATTATGCTTTTATTTGGCACTTTCATTTTTGACATACCTCTAAATGTTTTTGTATTGCAATACACACAAGCTCTTTTAAAACTGATTTGTGTACAGATCCTTTGAAACAGAAGACACATCCTTTGATCCTTTGCAACGTTAGTGATAACTAAAACAATTAAAATGTTCAGTTCCACTTTCAACAGAGAGAGCAAAAGAAATTACAAAGTTAAAATCATACAATAATCATGTTTCATGTAAACATAGTTTTTCCTTTACATCATTAATGTGTTAAATATAGAAATATAGGGGTAGCTTTTCAAGCTCTGAACTGCTAAGCAAAGTGCTGGTGTTCAATGCCAAGGATGACTATCATGTAGTGGTAGAGATTTTACAACTTCATATGATATGTCTATAAACATCTGAGATAAGATTTTATAGTTCTCTTTTGCTTCCATGCCCTGCGGGTCAACAATAACAACAAATACAAGCTTTGGAAACACCATAAGGAGAAAACATTACAGAGGCGTTGCATTTGTTCATCCTCAAATAGCTCCAAAACTCTTAATTTCAATGACAGACTTCAAAGTTCAACTCTATAACATCCGCCTGTTCGAAAGCAAGTCAGACTGTCAATCAAGTTGCTGCTGCTTTATGAACAATGTCAAAAAACAAATAATGAATTGACAGTTACATAAAACGAATGACGCAAAGTGAGAGAATTAGGTAGGCTGTGTCTTATGACGACTCATAGAAGTTTCCTTTAGGAATGACTGCAATTAAATCTAAATGTGAAAGCCTTTGCCAAATACTACAGGATGGTATTTGCTCCAGTAAACAGTGATGTTGTGTGGAAGCACTTGGCAACAAAGTGTTTACCAGACAGAAATAAATCGACGCATTATGGTGCTCAGCCTTTTAGGTCAAATTAACAAGGTTTGGGAGGAAGTAAGTGCTGTCATTATCCTGGTGTCACACCATAATGCTGGTGTGACACATGCTCAAATTTGCCATATTCCGTTTTATGGGCATGGATCTCTAAAACGTCATTAAAGAGCACTTTGCTGTAGCAAATAAAACAAAGGCCTCACGCCACTTTGTTAAATTAGCTGTATTTTGATACACCATTTGCACATCATCTATTTATTTAAAACCAACAAACCCATTTTGTCAAATGCTTTCTGGGTCATTTTGCCTCATTTGAAAGGTCACGGAGAAGATGTGCGTCAATAACACATAAATCATGCTTTGCATAGTATATAAACGAAGACGCTCTGAAGTCAGAAAACACGAGCTAACAAAAGACATCCATAAAGTCAGCGGAAGACCCAGATTTGACACTATTTCCAGCCATGAAGGTCGTGCTGCTGGCAGTGCTGTTGGTGTTTGCTGCGTGGGCAGATTCGGCCCAGACCCAGAAAGCTCTGAGACTCTGTGGCCGGGAGTTTTTTCGGGCTGTCGTCTACACGTGTGGGGGTTCTAGATGGAGGCGGGTCCAGTCTGAGGACCCCGTAAATGGTCAGTATAGATTTTTGTCTTTGCTTAGCAGTCTTCATCCCAGTGCAAATGCAGGTCAGAACACAACTATCCGTTTCTAACCCTTAATGTTACATATTCGGTGGTTGTTGATTATTATACTGTATCAACACTAACTGCTACTAAAATTTCAGGTGGTTAATTTTAATTTTTAACTATGTTATATAGTTTAAAAGTGGCCTGCAGGTTTACTGATAATATAATATAATCTTTTGAGCTGCAAAAATGAAGAGAATCTGATATAGAATTTAATTTGATATAATAATAATTATAATAATCCAAATATATATATTTTTATTTATATATATAATTTATATAAATAAATGTCAATTATAAAATGTATTGTATGTTAAAATGAATGTGCCTTTTATATAATATAATATAATAAACAATATAATGTAATCTATTGAACTGCAAAATTAAGAACGGGATATTTTATAAAGATTATAATTTTTTATATAACAATAATAGTATTATTCAAAATATAAATTCTTTATTTATAATTTATATAAATAAATGTAAATTATAAAATGTATTAAATGTCAAAATTAGTGTGCCTTTAATATAATATAATATAATATAATATAATATAATATAATATAATATAATATAATATAATATAATATAATATAATAATGTAACGTATTTAACTGCAAAAATGAAGAGCGGATTATTTGTTATATCTAGCCTATATTTTTTTTATATAATGATACAATCAAAATATTGAAAAAATATTACTTATTTTATAAAAATATTTGTATGAATGAATTTACTAAAATAAATGATTAAAATTTATATAGGGAATCGATTATAAATCAACTGGAATTTACTTTAGCATTACAGTTACTTTGCATCCTCATGTAAATTTAGTTTTCACAAGACCCACTGAAATTATGCAATTATGCCGTCAAATCAAAGCATAAATATAAAACTTGGCTGAATGTGGGAACAGAACAGCACACTGGCATTCTGTTTCTGCTATTGAAATGGTAGGACTGAAGGAGTCGTATAGAACTGTTTTTCTCTAAATTCAGCTCTTGTGCGCCACCTGCTGCTGTAAAGCCTATGACTTATGCGTTCTGAAATAACTTTCTGTCAACTCATACTCATTCAGCAACTGTGGAGGTAACCAAAATGATTTACATCACATGACAATGATTTCCCACAGGTTATGAAATGGAGACTGACACGGAGACCTCTGCAGAAATGGATCGAGTAAGAAGAGACACATACGAAACGCTGCCCTCCACGTGCTGTTCAGTGGGCTGTATGAAAAGTGATCTTGTTCGCATGTGCTGAGAAACACAAGAACCTTCATCATCCTCTCTCTGCAAAATGCCTTTATATATTTTTCTGAGGAATTACATAAAAGAAACTCTCAAAAAGTGAAAATGGTTTTAAAATTAACATTTCAGAAACGTTCAGATGTTGTTTTCCACGAAATTCTTCAAATGCAAAACTAATGTTTTTAAAAATTGCTGTTAAAAAAGGATAAAATCTAGAAGCACTAATTCTAGATTTGAAATGTTTTTATTTGTATTAATGTATACCCAATGTTGTATTTTATGCAATATATCCAATGAGATACTGTAAAATTAATAATAAAAGCATTTTGAACAACAAAAAAAAAGAAAAGAAAATATGAATATGAATATGGTTGATTTGAGTGCTAATTTGTTGGCAAATAGCAATAAATACATTTTCAGAGGAATTATTCCTGCCACTCAAACTTGAGGATGACAAAATCTCTTTGTGGCCTATTTGGAGCCAAAAGTAGTCCAATACAACATAGATGGTATCTTTATGAGCAGAGATTAATAACAGCAGATTCAAGAAAGCGCAGGTTTAAAAAGGATTTACATAACACCTACATTGAATAATCTAAAATATACAAGTCGGGTTTTGTGTAACATCTTTTGGTCTCTACTTCTAAAAGAGCGCAAGTGTCGCATTCCGGAAGTTACAATCCGAATTTCACTTTCTGCATAGCTTTACTTCAGCGTTCACTGAACTCACGATACGATGTCATTCTAATACTCCAAGACAAGGTTAACAAAAAATGTACTGTTGATTAAAATGCTAAATTTGATGTTACATTGTGGGTGTAAATGAATAAGCTTGGACTTGGTGCTGGTAACCCAATGCACAGGACAATGGGGATAATAGAGTTCTCATTCAATGCAGTGTTTTGGTGTGTGTAGCCTAGTCTAGCAACTGTTTGCAATTGTTTTGCAATAACCTTCTGAAAACACATTTTGTATAGGAAATTAACATTTCTACGCAATGAAAGCACTTCTTTTTTTTTTTCAGGACTGAGTGACCATTATTATGAACTTACTGTACATGTCTCAAACCCCACCTATTTGAATGGAGAAGTGATACATATAGTCTCAAAAATGAGTGTCTATGCAGGGAGAGAGAAATGCCATTCATCACAGAGTCAGAAAGCACCTCCAAACTTCACTGTCTGTGAAGAGTAATAAATCCATGGATTTCCCCCAGCCATGATGTGGAATCCACGTAGAAATAAGAAGTATTTCTTAACTAAATTATTCAGTTTCAGTGTTTTGTCTTACCTGGGATCAAGGGTCATGGCAGGGGGGAAATCCATGGATTTTTACAGACACAGTGGGAAAATATTGAATCAGAAAAATATGTATAATATATGATAAGTGAGGCATTTAAAATAAGTTCACCAAAAAAGTTCATATTTTCAAATGGCTCTTTTTCTGTATAGGAAACATACAGAAAACATAGTTGTTTTCCGAGTTAAACAATATTAAGTTATTAACAAATAACACACCAACTGTACAGCTCAACCTGGCTTTGAAACATTAATACAATAAATACATAATTGCCAAACAATAACAGTTGAAACAGTTAATACTATCTGAAAACACTTCTATATAAGAAAATATGTCTATGTTCTCAAAACAAATCAATAACAGTAAACAAATGATATAGACATATAGATTTATTAACTTACAATGAGGTATGAAACACAATGAGGTATTTAACTGATGACATTTCAACTCAATGCATGGAAAGAGATTTATATTTTCCAATTGTTTATATGAGGTAAAACGTTTTCTTGTTAAGACAATGGCCTTTAAATCATGTCCAGTATGTGCTTTTATCATATAAATATTAAATAGCATCACAGGCAATAACTTCAGAATGATCAGAGCACACGTATACAGTAGTGGACAAAAGTGATGTCCGGTGGGGAGATTTGTTTTTTAATGACCTTTCAAGTTTGATTAAACCATCAATTTGAGGAAAATATTATATATATATATTATATATATATATATATATTTTAAATATGAGGGAAGAACAAAACTAATATTGGTTAAGGTATTTATCAGACAAAATTATTTGACAAAAACAAAAACAAAAAAAGCCCAGGAAAAAGCATATTGATATTTCTTGTTTTTGCATGTGTTCATAATTTCTTTGTATGACAGCCTGGCCAAACATTTTGTCTGCACAATTTGGCATGTTTCATTGCGTTATCAACAATAAAGCAATTGACTCAAAGATTTTGTACGAATATTGCACTGTGCTTGAATGCATTTCTAATATAATATATGAATAAAGGATAAAGATGTCAATTTTCCTAGGCAGGACAGCACATTTGGCCACTACTCTATGTGGTGCTCATTCACTAAACTCACTTGTTACTAAAACCCAGCTGACATAGACTTTAATCAGGTTGGAGGCCATATCAAATTTAACAGAGGTAAAATGGAGGTTGTGAGGGATAGACGTATGTACAACGACTCACACTGCATAAAGGTCCTAGATCACATACCTTTCACAACTTTCAAAAGGAGTTTTTGTCTACTGAAACTTTTTTGGAAAGCTGAACAATCGGTATGTTGTTAAACAACGGAACAATCCATTGAATGCCTCGGTTTCATTCCTGTAAAAATGAAATACGGCACAACCCTGACTAAAGTCTATTCTTACAGGCTCATTCAAAATAGACACCATAGACAGTCGCGGTGGCAAAGAGCGAGCTGTTTTTGAAAGTATGCGAGGAGAAATTGTCACGTGTCTCATCCCACAGGCATCTGCTCCCCATACGGATGTTCAGGTCTCTGATCTGACCAATGCTGATGATGACTATGAACTTATAGCGGGGAATCATCAATTCTTTAACCCTGGCCTTGACAACCTGCAATTGCAGTAACAACAAAGATTTCAGCAGCCCATAAATAAGTGCTAAATACAATAAGTCACTGTTAAGTTTATTGATCTGTCATGTAATTAATTAAAAGCAAGGATTTTGATGAAATGAATGGACCTCAGAGATTGTTTTGGTCATCTGCCGGCACAACTCGGGCTCATATTTCTCCTCCTGCAGATAGCTGGTCAACACATCCTTCAGAATGTCTTTGACTGTTATCACTGGGAAACGTCGTGCGGGGGCTGCTCCAACATTTACAGCCAATTACTGATATAGAACTCATAAAATGCACATTACTGCACAAGATAGCTAGTAAATGATGTCGTTGACCTTATAGCCTGTGATAATCTCAACCACATACATTTAATTAAATGTATGAATCAACTTCTTTCTGTCCTATTGTTTCTCCGTAACTAAAAACTAATATGCTTGTGTTGCAGTTTAAAGAAGTATTTCTATGAAATTATATAAAACTAAATGCTTTATTTAAAACATTTTGGTTAAAGAAATGGGGGAAAAATGGAATATCTCTTATTAAAATAGGGTAACATGGGGGAAGATGCCCCCCTTAGGAACAATGTGCATTTACTTTTATTATATGAAAATCATATTATATGAAAAATGATCCACTACTGCGGTAAAAAGCTCCCGTGGCTAAACTTTCACAGAATGTATAAATTACTTTTGATATAATTCTTAATATATCGTTTAAAGTGTCATTAACGTAAAATACTAAACCAACTATTTAATTTTGACAATTTAGTTGAATAATCGAATAACTGATGACAGACAAAGCAGAATCAAAGAGATTCATCTGAAAGGTCAAATTATTCTATGACTTATATACAGGCATATTAATATTTACATATTTAACAGCCCATATTTTATATGAATATGTCATAATAGCAACACTATGAATGCAAACTCAACTAACCTATAGGTTTTAACGAAAACAAAGATGTCTGAAATTGACATCTTATTCACGGAGAACTGAATAATATTTAGACACAAAAGACACAAAATTAGATCAATTAGGCCTAATCTCAAAACTGTTTCCACTGAATAAACAGTTATTTTTAATTTTCTCATTTCATCTGAATATCAACATTTGTTGATAGCGTAGCCATTCATCAAAAGTGCTGAGATAAGATTTTGTGTCATCTATGGTCAGGAGAAAAAATTATTTTATTTTAAAGCTGCAGTCCGTAGTTTTTCCTCTTTGTCGCCATCTTTGTTCGAAATCTGCAATTGCAGTTATTCGCGGAATTATCAACTTTACGTGAGTTGTGCCTCGGCTCGGCACAGCGCGGATGAATCCAATGTTTTGAGGAAAATGTGCGGCTGTCAGTCGCCCGCGCCGGTGTGGATACTATCATTCGGAATTCTCACCGGAAAATGTCATCTGAACAAGTTAGTAACATCCACTTTTGTTCTGACCAACTAAGGGAAAAAAAGCATTGCAGTAAATCGAGTTGATTAAAACTAACGATCGTTTATCATATCACGTCAAACCGTGAAAATTATACTTTGTTCTCAAGTTGTTAATGTTAACAACATCTGCATTGCGTGACAATTTAATGCCCTTCCAATATTTATCCTTGTTTTCTCATGGGCCGGTTGCAGTCTCTTTTTTTCTGTAGCCAATCCGATGTCCGCCAGTACCATCCAAACCCACCAGTACCACTGGAATTAAAAACATTATTACAAGCTTACCGCTTTGAATCGAGGTAAGGCAAGCAGATAGTTTTGAACACTGGCTGGTTATGTACTTGCTCAAAAATGTATTTTGGATCATTTTTAACCCCAAAAAGTTACGGACTGCAGCTTTAATTATTCATCTTCCCCCGACTCTACCAGTGTACAGAAATGATGTTCACTTAATTGCGAAAAATTCATATACCATTTAATATATTAAGACACATACAACAAAGACATGAAAATATACTGCATAACAGGAATTATTGGTTTATTTCGTGTGAAATAATTTCAGTGCATCTTTATGTCTATCATTTGTTCGGTGTTTACATATCTATATTAGTATCTCCATTCTCCATATATAACTGTCAAGGAAAAGAGACTCACTGAGCCGATAGGTGTTCTCCATTGGCACTGTAGGTCGTGGAATATCATCATGATGTCCAGGCTCTTCCATGTAGGACACAGTGCTGATAGAGCTACAGAGAAAAACAAATGCTACTTTATGATACATACTTGCAAATTTACACTTTTTTCCTTACTATTTTTGATATGTGAGTTAGTAATGACAGTAACTCACTCCTTTTTTCTGCCAAAGGTCATAGCTCTGACTTCATGACTGCCCAGAGAAGACACACTTCCACGTTTCTTCAGCAGACGTGCTGCTTTCTCTTTCGCTAAATCAGACATTTTGCGGAAAAGCCGACTGCAATTCTACGAAAGACATACAAAAGACATTTATATGTACACTGGTAAAGCACTAAACATATATTAGTGTATGTAAAGCTTGTTTCCCTTGATAGAATATATCATAATATAAACTAAAACACTTGTAGGCTACATAACTTTTATCGCATCGCAGCAAAATGCACTTACCGCTTTGATGCGTCTCTTCCAGAAACCGGAAATGCTCAGGACAGTCACAGGCTTGTTGACAAACGTTGCCTTGACAACAGTGGATTTCATTTTCACTTTAGGTGGCTTGTCCTGCCATCCTGCCAGCGATATTCCATTACGAATTCTATGGCGACCAAATCAACGAAATGTTTAGATTTGAAAAGCTGATTAAGTATTGCCAAAAACTATATAATACTTAAAGGGACTTTGGTAATGTCGACTTTGCTTGGTTACGTACTAGTGACTTAATTAGTGATTATAAGCAAAAATTATTTATAGTGTGATTTCGGATTAATAAAATTGTAGAGCAACGCTTTCTGAAAGCTTTTATACTGAACACAGTTCTGAATATACACTATTTGACAATAATGTTTTTTTTTTAAAATAAACTAGCTTATTCAAAGGAAACAAAACTAAACTATACTTACTTTATGTAGTTCTATTAAACCCATAGTGTTGACTATGTTTGCTATACTAGTAATTTTATCCCTGCAATAAGAAATACCAAGTTATTATTTTTATTTGCAAGAGTTTTAGTTTAAGTGCATACATTGTGTTAGTGACAATGACTTTTAACAAGAAGCCAAGAATGTTAAACATGAATTTCTTGATTTTATTTCCAAGACATTACATTATTTTCATTTTTGATATATTTAGCATTTTCAGTCTCTATATTCTCTTAAATTCTGGGGAGAGGTTTATTCTATGCATGAAATGTTTGCATATTCCATTTTCTGAACGATGAATGAACAAGATGAAATTTAGCTGACAAACACAATACCACAACATCAGTGGGATAAAAAGTAATAAATACACATTTTATAAAATGAGACTCGTTTTAACAGGAATGAACCTTCCGCAAGCAGCAGTTGTCTATCCATCGCTCCACATTTAAGGTCAGGTAAGGCATCCAAAACACTGAAATAAAGTACACTTAATTAATGGCAGAAATAATGTGTCACTTATCCAAAACCACATTAGCCAAAGCGCATAACTGAAGATTATCCAGGAACATCATGTACTGTATATTCCCAAACTATATCTCTACAACTAGAGATATTTGAGGCTTTTCTAGTAAAAGTTTCTACACACTTGGATGGATAATCTCTCAGTTTTAAAGGCAATGATCCACATGGGTCTTGTGACGAAGTGTCAGCAAAGAAAAATCATGTATAATAAAGATGAGCATTTCCCTACTTATCAAAATATGTGAGTTGACAACACAGTACAGTACAAGGAAGTGATAAATGAAAGGATGCGATTAATGTTCTTCTGAACTAGTCCATTGTTGTTTCTTTCCCTTTTTGAACAATAAAACAGTCTAGTGAGTGTTCGGAATCCATTACAAACCACAGAACTAGGCATAAAATAAATAACATGTATTTTAAACATTAATAAATAAAAATAAAGTGCCACCATGAACTGTAAATACCAACAATAACCTGACATGAAATCGGTTCTATGACAAGACATAGAAACTCTGTATCCATTTGGATACATGTTTAACAATTTCTATTTTACATTTTTACACATTATCCTTAAATATTGCTACAGTACAATGTTTTGGGAAAATAAAATCCACATTGTGGAAAACCAAAAGGAAAATATTTTATATTTGACCAGTTCCTTAAGTTTATTTCGCCTTAAGGAATTCTGCATCCCTGACACAAATGGAGTTTCATTTTCCTAAAATAAACGGTTTAAAGAAATTGAGAACAATATTAAGTAGGCATCACTTTTTGCATGAATTATGAATGAAACACTCACATTCATGTTTAAGCACTTAGTTTAACAAAAGGGCCAACTAGACAGAAGTGATGCATACTAACATGTTTTCGCCAATAACATCAAATTAATATTAACACTGACGCAAGAGGCAATTTAAGATGATATTAAACAGAATATCCTGTGAAAGCATGTCTGTATTTCTCATCATTTCTAATTGCAGGATGGCAAGACTTTACAACAAGAGTTAATTCACTAACATTAGTTGATGTTTTAGGCATCATAAACTAATAAATACCAAATAAACTAATAAAACACATTTACATTACAGCATTATTAATCTAGGTATGATTAATGAGTTAATTTATACATTTACTATTATAGTTCATTCACATTTGTTCATAATACAACAATGTTGATTTCTAGAACTCAAACTCAAAATGTTTGAGGTCAGTACATTTTTTTAAAATATATTTTTGCTTATGCACACCAAGGACACATTTATTTGATCAAAAATACAGCAAAAAAACAGTAATATTGTGAATATTATTATTACAATTTAAAATAACTCTTTTCTATTTTAGTGAATTTCAAAATGTCATTTATTCTTGTGATCAAAGCTGAATATTCAGCATCATTACACCAGTCTTCAGTGTCACGTGATATTTCAGAAATCATTCTAATATGCTAACTTATTAATGCTGAAAACAGTTGTGTTGCTTAATATTTTTGTGGATACCATGATCATTTTTTTAGGGTTCTTTGATGAAAAGAGAGTTCAAAAGAACAGCATTTATTTAAAATAGAACACAAATCACAACATAAATGTCTTTACCGTCACTTTTGATCACTTTAATGCATCCTTGCTATATAAAGTATTAATTTCTTTAAAAAAAAAAAAAATCTTACTGACCCCAAACTTTTGAATGGTAGTGTATATGCAGAAATTAACATTAACCTAGATTAAAAAAGGCATGTAACTATGATACCTAAAGCCCAGGACACACCAAGCCGACGTCAAAGAACTGGCGGTGTGTTGTCGCCTCTCGTCGGCTGCGTCTCAGACAAAAAGCTGCGCTTGAACACACCAAAATGACTAAAGCAACTAGCATATGCGTTTTGGCCCTGTGTGTATGTTAATATCTGTCTATATCAGCAGGTATCAATAGTCTATTTCCATCATTCAAAAAGAGAAACCGAATCTAGGACTGCAGATATACAAACCTGAACAAAGCAGCGCTTGGTTAACATTTTGAACATCAATCACGGTGATCACTTTCTTCATTCCAGTCGGCTCTTGTTATTATGAAAATATCCACGTATTCCAATGATCGGGTAAGATGACGTAAAATTTTAACAGCCTTCTGTCTGTGCCGTCTTGACTTCTTTGCTCGCTTTCATTACCTTCGCTTTTATTCTCGTGCACTGACTTGTTCGCTAAACTAAACAGCCAATCAGAGTTCTTTCTCAACATGCTGAATCAGCCCAAAAAATCCCAGACGGTGTCCGACTAGAGCCAAGGGTGCAGAACACACCGAAAAAACTAAGCCGACCGACACATAAAAACGGGCCGACTGTCGGTTTGGTGTGTCCTGGGCTTAATACATCAACTAATGTTAACAAACTGTATCTCATTGTGAAGTGTTATCTGTAGCATTATTTGGGAATTGAGACTTAATTATAGTTAGATCGAATTGTTTAGAATTGATCAAAATAACTAAAAGAAAGCCAAACACTGCCGACATGTGTGTTCCTATAGCCTATGTGAACCCTGGTATCATTAGATTGTTATGTCACTAGGTGTGTTTGGTTTGAGTGAAAGAGAGAATGTGCAATAAGTGAAAAAGAAAACTCTGCCTTCTGCAAGAACCCAGCGGAAAAAGTCCACGTATTGCATTTGTCCTGAAGTTTTATCATATACACACAAAATACACATACACACACACACACACACACACACCCACAGAACGCACTGATGATATTCTACACCAGACATTGTAAGTGAGATTTTGAGTGCTGTACTTCTGGACTTTCGTTTAAAAACATTTTTGAAAGTCTTTGTAGTGCCAAAAGAGCATCCTAACGTCCCACTCACAGCCCATCATCCAGCAGGTCGTCGCTGAAGCCAGGTCAGTTGTCTGCCAGATATTTACCTGTGGAATACAAAAACATACATTTTTATATCAGATACTGTGAAAAAATAAACGTTAGGGCTTATCACGTTTGAATCAGTTAATTCAACAATTAATAAACTGCCATTTCACACTGTACATTCCTAAACACAAGGCCTTAATTGAATATTTGTGGTGTCAGTGTCATTGATTGAACACAGAGCCCTTCTTGCTTCTTTGCAAATGAACAAAATATTTCTTAAAAAGACATACCTGCAGAAAACCTTTTTTTAACCAAGGATAGTCTATAGCCTGAACCTAAAAGTTGAAAATCGCAGCCAGACAGAGTGCAGCCCTCACTGGTGAACTGCACTGCCAACTGCGAAGGTCGACTGGGGCCGTCGGCTAACTGGAAGCGAGCCAGGAGAGCGCCAACCCCTGGCACACGGACACACAATGACAGGACATTACAGATATATATATATATATATATATATCCTACCACACGGTTTATTCACACTGTACATTTGTTAACATTCGTATTTGCATATTTATGAGGTTAATAACAATGACTACAGCACAAAACCTGGATCTGTGGAAATGTTGCCACAGAAGTGTGCTCAAGTGTTGTTTTTTAATAACCAAATATCATCTCTGCAACATTCCAGTTAACTTGTCTGTCATCATTTAACATTTAAAGGGATAGTTCACCCAAAACTGAAAACTTTGACCATCACTTGCTCACCCTCAAGTTGTTCCAAACCTGCATGAGTTTCTTTTTTATCTGCTGAACACAAAAGAAGATATTTTGAAAAATGTCGGTAATCAAACAGTTCACGGACCCCATTTCTCGACCATATTTGGAAAAAAATACTATGCAAATCAGTGGCTACCGTCAACTGTCTGGTCACCAACGTTCTTGAGGAAATGATGACAAAATGTCAACTATCCCTTTAAACATTTCCCTCAGATGGTGCAATGAAGTTCTACAACTGTACAACTGCCTGAATATTTAAGTTTATGATTCATTGTTATTCGCTAAACAACTAATTGTATTATATTTATATTTTGCCATCCACACCGTATAGAGTGCTGCAGTGATGCGTACTGTATTACTGTAGACCAATCCAGAAGTCAGCATCACCCTGGGATCATCGACAAAAAGCCAATAGGATTTTTCCATTAGCTTTTGGATTATTGCCGGAAAAAAACTTCTGCGACCAACAAAAGTTTATGACACTTGCACGTTTTGTT